AAAAAATAAACTTACTGCAAAGACTTGGGGGGTAATGCACAGAGTTGTCGGGAAGGCTTAGAAAATAGGTAGAAACTTACACAGATGAGCTCCAATGCCATAGCCAAAATTTGCCCCTACAGGCCAGGGGTGTGGGCTGCCTCCTGTGCTGGGCACTGCACTAGGGGGGCCGGCTGAACCCTTGCACTGCTCCTGGTCCTGTGTGTGAAGACATCATCATCTGCAGAACCTGGAGATGCCTGGCTGGGCTGAAATCTCTCCCCCAATCTCGCCTCTTTGTTTCCTTCCCTCAACACTCACAGTAAGAACAGAGCTCTGAAGGGAGCATCAGAATGGCCAAGGTGGGTCAGATGTGTCCACTCTGGGTACCACAGGGCAAGAGAGGGTGTTTGCCTCTGTTTTAATTATTGTTGGTGATAGATCTAGGATATTCTACCAAAGGAAAAATGAGCCTAGGGAAGAGGGTGCATACTTGAGAGGGAATGAACTCAGGTAGGTGATGAGAAGAAATTCTAATATGACTGTTCCTTGGCAGGTCCAGAATTGAAGCATTTCCCTGAGTTGCAGTAGAAAGTTAGAAGGTCCTTGTATGATTAAGCTTTATTTGTTGATTGAGAGGAACAGACCATGCTTATATTGTTTGATCAATTTTGCATTCTTATATCTGGTAATCTGAGCAACTACTCTGAAAACAACAATATACAATATAATAACTTCTGTTAATTTCCTATCCTCATTTTTAAAAATTGGATATGGGGCTCACTACGCAGTTCAGACTCATAGCGATCTCCTGTCTCAGCCTTTACAGTGCTGTGATTACAGGTCTGGAGTACCATGCCCAGTTTCAGGGCCAGCGCGGTGCTCTGGCATGGCATGCAGTACCAGGAACCAAACTTGAGTCCTTGCACTTGCCAGGCAGGTGCTTAGACTGTTGAGCTACCTCCCCAGCCCCAAATTTCCTATCATCTTGTTTTGATATTTTGTCTCACTTTTTATTGTGTTTTTTTCTCTCTTTTTTGAAAATGGAAGGTCCTTGAGGAATGGTCCCTAGGATGAAGTAATTGTATAGCATGAAACAAATGGAGCTTGGCACAGTGGTGAACACCTGTAATCCCAGCACTCTAGAGGCTGTGACAGGAGCATCGCCTTGAGTTTGAGGCCAGCCTGGTATACAAATTGAGTTTAAGGCCTGGATGAACTTCATGCTAAGACTCTGCCTAAAGAAGGAAGGAAGGAAGGAAGGAAGGAAGGAAGGAAGGAAGAGAAAAAGAAAGAAAGAAAGAAAGAAAGAAGAAAGAAGAAAGAAAGAAAGAAAAAAAAAGAAAGGGTATTAATGTGCAAGGTGGAAAGACAAAATGATACTAAAAATCAGTATTTCTCTTTTGGCTAATAAAAATATGGGAAGAATAGGAATCTAGCAGAAATTATCATGAATCAAATATTCAGCTCAAATGTAGTGTGATTTAAACAAATAATGGGGGTAAAAAATCTTTTCTGAAGTTGTAACTAAGCCTTCAAGGATTGACTCTCTAAAGAAAGAAGGTGAGGGGCTGGGGAGATACCTCAGTGGAATAAGCACTTGCCTGGCAAGCGAAAGGACCTGAGTTCAACCCCTGGTTCTGAAAAAAAAAAAAAAAAAAGAAGGTGAGATTTGTGTTTAATTTCTATGGGACTCAGCAATTCCTTCAATTTTTTTTGTTTATTCATAAAACTCAAGAGAAGGTAAATTAAATACCCTTTATTAGATGCCTTACTTTTACAACTAAGGCAGCATTAAAAAACTTAAAACAATTCAGGCCAAGAAGCTCATAGGAGGTGTAGAGGGTTAAAGGTGAGGTGGCTGGCAACTCATGTCCCTTTTGCTCAAGCAAGAAACCCAGTTCCTGGCTTCAGTTTTCTTATGCAGTTCTGAACTGACAAATTTTTAGGGTCAGCACACACGCGTTTCCCCTTCTTGGTGACAAAGCTGGAAGACAAGGAGGAGAGTAGTTATAAAGTGAAGAGTCCTCAGCAATGGCGACAAAGGGCCCCATCCTCCCAGCCCCTCAGCTTTCCCACTCAACGCAGCTTGTTCTTTCCATTCTCCGCAGAAGCCTGCTCAGGGCCAGGCTCCTCCCAGAGACCCTCTCTCAGCACATGGCACTCCCTAGTGACCCATGGGCGTGTCCTTGGGCAGCTTGCTGCCTGCTTTCTCCTCCCTTCTTCATAGAAATGTGTCCTCCCTGATACCCTGCAGGCATCTAGTAAGGACACAAGTTTCCCCCTACCCTGGCAGGATCCAAGGGTACTTATGTACCTCAGTTTCTCCCACCAAGAGCCTGCGGGCTCCCTGCAACCCACAGTGGATGAGTTTGGTACTTACATGATTGCTGGCTGGGTGCACCCACTGCTTGTCTCAAAATAGTCTTCCATGAGTTTACACTGGATCCTTCGTGGAGTGTAGGAGAGGCAGCAGTCTGAAGGTTGGGCAAAGACTGCAGGTGGGGAAAGGACCATTGAGAGGCTAAGGCTTTCCCTCGAGCATCCAGTGCTTGGTACTGTGAGGGATACTATGGAGATAGTCCTGGACTCAGAAGGGATGCTTGCTCCCCCTTGGCCAGTACCCACTGCCTGCTCCTTGCCAGGTTGAACAGTGTGCCTGAGGGCCCTTGGGATGGGCCCCAGCAGTGCCCAAGGCCCTTCTTCAGAAGGGGAAGACATCTGCAGATACCTGCAGGCATTGGTGAGCACCCTGTGCTCCAGGGGGGCTGACTCTCAGGTCAGCCAGGTGGGAATAGAGAAGATATCTTTGGAGCAGGTACCGGTCTCCTCTCCTGGTCTTCCCTGGAGATTTGAACCACCTTGAGGATGCTTGTGTTCTCCCCCTGTCCTATGAACAGGTAGATGAAGCCATAGATACATGCTTTACTGGGATATTTACCCCTGTAAATTAGAGGTTCCCGTAGATCCATTGTCCTCTGTCGTTCTCTTATCTCTGTATCTGGAAGAAACCAGGTGAGGAGAGAAATTTTTAGGAGACATTATCTCAGCGTCTCTACACACCCTATATCCCACCCCCATCCCAAGGAGCAAACTTTGATGCTAGACTGTGCCACTTTTCTGGGTCTTAGGCATCCTCTGTTAATGCCCTAAGATGTTTCAGGGACTGTTAAGATTTAAGCATGAAATGTTCTCCAAAGATTCCTGTACTGAGGGCTTGGCTCCAGTGCAGAAACCTTGGGAGGTTGGGCCTAGACTGGTCCTTGGATTATAATGGCATTAACTCCATCAGTCAGTTGATGAGGTCAGAGCTGAATGGGCTACTAGGAGGTGGCCCAACGGGAGGAAGTTGTCACTGGGAGCAGCCTTTGAAGGGTACATCCTGCCCCAGCATCCTTCTCTCTTTCTGGGCCCATCCCTCTGTTTCCTCACTGCCATGAGGTGAGCTTTCCTCTTCCACACCCTTCTGTCTGCCGCCTACCACAATGTTTCTGTCTGTTTGAGCTGATCACAGACTCAAACCATGAGCCAATAACCCTTTTCTCCTTTAAGGTGTACATGTTGGTTCTTTTTGTTTCAACAGCAGAAAATTGACCAATACAGCGACCTTTTGAAAATGTTTGATACATGAAGACATTAGACTGATTCACAAATACTGAAAGCTGATCTAACATATACGTTAAACAAATGTCTGCATAATGTGATATGAACTACAGTTCTTTCCACCACACATTTCTGGAGTCTACAGAACTCTGGAAACAGAAAGTTTTTCAAAGTCTGGTGGCAACATGTCTTTTGAAGTGAAGTGAGGCTTTTTAAAGTATTTATTTATCTAACTTAGTATAAATATTTGTTTGTGTTTGGTTAAAGTATGCTCCTCTGGCCTGGGGAGATAGCTCAATAGAATAAATGCTTGCCTTGCAAGCGCAGTGTCCTGAGTTCAAACCCCGGTACTGCAAAAACAACAGCAAACAAAAAAACAAACCACCATGACATCCCTTTTATGTTTTGCTGAGTTCATGCACCTACAATATTTAAATGAGAATGGAATACCCTTCTCTGGCAAAACTAAACAAAAAAGGGGAATACAAATGAACGACCATTTTGTACCTGTATATTCAAAATAGGATAGATATACAGCTGCATTCTCCTCATTCAATGAATAGAGAGATTTGTCCTAATAGTGGACAGGATATCATGTCTGCATCTTGTACAATGAATAACCACTAAAACAACAATATGTGATTTGTATTGTTATTGAATAATAACAATTATATTAATTTTTGAAACTGTGCTAACAATCGGTTTTGAAACTGTCTCACTTCTATTTGTTTCTCAATAAAATTATTTTTAAAAAATGGCCATATCACCAAAGGGGGAGGGAAGTATGCTCCCCAGATACTACCAGGGATGTTAAAATAGTAGCCAAATATCCAGAAAAATTCCAAAATACATTTTACCCCAAAGTTTATAGATAGAAGACTGTAGATCTGTATGATTCTAATTAGGCAAACACTGTCTAGAGCAGGCTGGCCTTGAATGCTTGGAGGTCCTCTTGCCTCAGCCTCCTGAGTGCTGGGATCACCCAGCTTAGCTTCTTAAATAGTTCCAGATCAGCTGTATTTAATAAGGCACATGAGTACTTAACATGCTTGGCATGTTGTAGATAGGCTTGCCGAAAAAAGAAAGAAAGAGAAATCTGAAAGAGCTTTGTCTTTCCATAACTACTTCTTAACTAATTCATATCCTAATTTCTCCACTTAGTAGCTGCTCAATATCAAGCAAGTTATTTCTATGCCTCACTTTTCCCATTTATAAAATGAGAAGAGTCACATGTAAAACTATATAAAATTGCTGATGTCCTCTTAAATTGTTTTCCTTCAAGAGTGGCAGATTTGCATTTATTTATTCCAGTCTGTACCTCACAGGATTGTTGGGGACTCAATATGTTAATGTCTGAAATATACTTAGACTATTAGCCGCCTGGCACATAGAAGCTACTAGACAAGTATTTAAGTAGAAAGCTAAAAGGGTTATGTGACCATCATTAGATAATGTATTTCTTCAGTTAAAAAATTAGAATTGTTAGGTGACTATCAATCATATTTTAAATTTTTTTCTGGATCTTATGATGTTTTGACATTATAAAAATATTGACAGCTGGGGAGACAATGCTTCTCCCAGGATTATCCAGTTCTTAGAGACAGCAAAAGGTTCAAACCAACTTATTCTGAACATTGAGGTCCCACTACCCTCTTTATCTACCCTTCAAGCAGAAGGGTTTGCCCCTCCAATGTTTGCCCTGCTCCAAGCGAACTCACAGTCAGGTATCAGACAGCTTGAGACAATCCACACCCAGCGCCTGCTGGACATATTCAGTCTAACCCTTGCTAAACCGAATACCATGTTTTACCCTGACTCTCAGAAATCCAAATGAAAGCTCTGGCATAAGTGTTCCCTTTTGTTTGTTCTTTCTTAGAAAATTAAGCAATGAGGTTTTGTTTCCCCAAAATGACATTCCTGTGTATTGGTTCCTTTGTATTGAGACTTAGTTACTTCCATAAATTAAAATTTCAAATGCCCAAATGAGACAGTGACCTTGGGTGAGTTACTGGCCTGGCTGGTCTCACTGGCTCTCAAAATGATAGTTTTATTCTTGATAATATACAATAGTTCTGACATCATAGAATTTTATACCTCTTTCTATAAGCTTACAATATTTTTTGATTTTGGTAGTGAAGATCTAAGGGCCTTTGCACTGAACTATATGCCTCCCTGTTTTTAAAAAGTCTTTCATTTTAAGACAGATTTTGTCAGATTGATAAATTGTCTAGGCTGGGTTTTTACTTGAAATCCACCTGCCTCACCCTTCCAGAGTGTTGGGATTACAGGCATAAACTGCCCTGCCTGGCTTTTTTGATCTAGCTAAACTATCATCTAAGATAAGGTATCCCATAATTCTGCCATTACAAAGGAGATAATAGTGTCCCTAAATGGGACCAGTTATCTGTGTACAGTTTTTCTCAGAGAGTAAAGCCTACAGACTAAGGCAGGTATGCACCTTGAAGCTGTTCTCAAGTAAGTTCTGTACCCATATCTGGGATGGAGAGTAGTTGTGAGGTACAGTGGTGCCCTTCTGTGTCTCCTCTCCTGGCTGTGAACATCTGTGGCCCTGGCTACCAGTGAGAAAGCTCAATTGACTCACCATACACAATCTGGGCCCGGGATCCAGGGGCAACAGCAAGGATGAGGAAGGAGAGGGCAGCCATGGAGAACTTCATCCTCGCAGTAGACAGGCAGATCTGACCCGAGACGCCTGGACTCTTGGCCTGCTTGGTATTTATAAGAGGCAGATCAGGAAGTACTACAGCAGATGTCAAGATGCTGTTTGTTCTTTGTCTATATAATAATCAACATGCTATTTCTAAAAGAGGGAACATGGCTGAGAATACATCAGGAAGTAGCCAGTCAGAATGATTTGGGACTTTCCCAATTGTTTCAGTAGATACAGGGAAAGAGAATAAATATTTCTAGGATTCTTTCTCTAGGAGATTCATGTGATCCTCTAGATGTGACTGCAGGCTAGGACTGGGGGACTCTCAGATATTGTACCTCAGGATTGGACTTGGTGGGCACTACCTTATGCCCATCTCCATTTCTATTCCTGTAGTCCCAGCCAGAAGGGAATGGAAAGGTAAGAGTTTATCATGTTGGCTAGTATAATGAAGAGTGGGAGTATCTCAAGTTTAGGGGCTCAGAACTTTCTAGTTTGTACGGATCTCAAGGCCTAACCATTCTATCCTGGACTTTCAAATGCCCCCAAATCTTATAATCCAGGGTGACCACCAGAGTTAACATTCAAGCATGTGAACTTGATTCCTCACACAGAATCTGTCAATGACTTCTCAAGGACTTAGGATCAACTCCAGATTTTTTTGCATATGTAGAAGGCTCATAAGAATCAGGTGCTCCTGGCACACACAGTTCTCTACTTTCTAATGTAATAGTACTTTAATGCATATTAAGTATAACAGCTAAAGATGCATTTATTAATTTAGAATTTCTTTTGGATTGAGTATATATAGTTTCAGGATAACAGTACTTATGCTTAACGGATAAATTTACTCTTTGTAGATACTAATTCCTACTAACCCATTAACTCTGTTCAGCAGTCATACCTCTACCAGTAGGACTTCTTGCTCTTATCCTAGGTCGGGTATCCTTCATAAGAGCTTCCACAGTATCTGGTGTTTAAGTCTATTGTAGCCTCAGTTACATTATATTTTAAATGCTTTTAAATGTCCTCCTCCTGATATAACAAAGTGTATGTATGTATGTATGCATGTATGTATGTGAATATGGTTAACAGAACTAACAAAACATGGGCTCTGTTTTCTTAACAAATGACTAAGGGTGAGCATATAAGGTCCTTGAAAATTGACTCTAAACAAGTGATGTGAGTCTCCAAGTATAAGTATAGACTGATGAAAAGGAAAAGGTGACAAATAATTCTCTCTTGGTTAATGAGAAAAGAGTGAATAAAAAGATTTGGAAAATAAGAATCGATATGAGATTATCATGGGTCAAATATTAAGCAAATGTTGTCTGTGTTCCCCCAATTCTGGGAAGCTGAGGCAGTATGATGTAATTAGAAGCCTAGTTTGGGCAACTAAGTGATTTAGCAAGACTCTGTCATATACATATTGCTATGGTTTGTGTTTAGGTGCCCCCCCCCCCGAAAGCCTCATGTAGTCATGGGGTGAATTTCTAGAGGTTATGATTAATTCATGATCCAGTGCTGGGGTTATGGATGTGAGTGCTTCTGGGATTATGGGTGTGAGTGTTGCACCATCCTGGGGCAGATAGCTAGTATGAAGTATAAGGGAGGGAGCGAGGCTTGCTTTCTGCCTCCATGGCTTCTGTTGCCCCTGCTCCTCCACATTTGCTTTTGCTCTTGCTGTTTTCAACCTCCATGAACTGCTGCCCTCTGCCACGTGCTACCCTGCTTTGGAGACATCCAAGTATAGACTGAAACATCCACAAACTGTGAGCTAAATAAACTTTTCTTCCTTAATTTTGGGTGTCAGGTATTTTGTCCTCACAACAGGAGAAAAGCAGTCGAAACACAATGGATCCTACAGAAATCCAGAAGATCATCTATACTTACTTAGAAAACTTGTATTCTACATAAGATGGAAAATAAAGAAGTGGGTGAATTCCTCATTCTTTCTTTCTTTCTTTTTGTTGGAACTGGGGATTGAATTCAGACCTTTGTGCTTGCCAGGCAAGCGCTTATTCTACTGAGCCATCTCCCCAGTCCCATGGGTGGATTTCTAGGTGCATATGAATTATCAAAGCTGAACCAAAATAATTCTAAAGAAATCAATATCAATCAATGAAATTGAAGATGTAATTAGAAACCTACCAATATAGGAAAGGCCAGGCCCTGATAGATTCACTGGTAAATTCTGCAAGAAATTTAAAGAAGACCTAATATCACTACTTCTCACACTCTTTAATGAAATTGAAAGAGAAGCTATATTCTTAATAAATCATTCCTGGAAGCAAGCATTACCCTAATAGCAAAATCAGAGTAGGACTAAACTAAGAAAGAAAATTACCAATCAGTCTCCCTAATGAACATACATGCAACAATCTTCAATAAGATACTGGCAAAAAGAATAGAGAAAATCATCAAGAAGATTATACTTCAAGGCCAACTAGGATTCATCCCAGAAATGGATGGATGTTTCAACATATGTAAATCAATAAGTGTAATACACCATGCTAACAGAGCTAAGGACGAAAATCACACAGTCATCTCTCTCTCTCTCTCTCTTTTTTTTTTTTTTGCAGAACCAGGGATTGAACTCAGGCCCTTGTGCTTGCCAGAGAAGCGCTTATTCTACTGAACCATCTCCCTGGCCCCATACAATAATCTCAACAGATGCAGAAAAAACATTTGATAAAGTCTACCACCTATTCATGATAAAAACAAACCCTACAGAAAGTTCAAATAGATGGATTTTTCCTCAGTCTGATAAAATTCACCAAAGATAAGCCAATGGCTGGCATCATAATAAATGGACAAAAACTAAAGGCTTTCATTTCATTATCAGGAAGTAGGTGAGGATATCCACTGTCACTTTTATTCACTAAAGTGCTGGAAACTTTAGTAAGAGCAATTAGACAAGAGAAAGAAATAAATGGAATAACAATAGGAAAGGAAGAAGTTAAATTATCATTATTTACAAATGACATGATTAAGAACCCAAAAACTCAGTTTTGGATTGTTTTGCTGAATTCATGCACCTATAGTATTTAGATGTCAATGGAATACCCCTATCTGACAGAACTGAACAAAAAAAGGCAACAGAAAGGAAGGACCATTTTGTATCTGTATATGCAAAATAGTTAGGATAGATATACAGCTACTTCCTCTTAATTCAGTGAGAAGAAAGATTTGTACTAATAGTGTTTGGACAAGATATTCTATCTGCATCTTCTACTATGGATAACCACTGAGAAGATAACAATGTACAATGTATTAATTATTGAAACTGTCTTATTAATCAGTTTTGAAACTGTCTCATTGATATTTGTTTCTCAATAAAATAAAATAAAAAAGACACCAAAAACTCCATTAAAAGACTTCTACATTTCATAACCAAAATCAGTAGCATAGTTGAATACAAAGTCAACAATCAAAAATCAATACCCTTCTGTACATGAATAACAAACTCACTGAGAGAGAAATTAGATAAACAACACTTTTCACAATAGCATCCAAAAAAAAATGAAACACAAAGGAATCAAACTAAAAAAGAAAGTGAAAGACCTGTACATTGAGAAGTCACAATATTATGAAAGTGGAGATTAAAAATAATATCAGAAAATGGAAAGACTAATCCCCCTGTTTTGGAGCAGAAAGAACCAATATAATGAAAATGACTATACTTCCAAAGTTGTTATACAGAATTTGGATGCAATTCTAGTCAAAATTCCAATAGCATATCTCACAGAATTAAAGAAAGCAGCGATAAATTCATTCGGAACCAGAAGAGACCTAGACTAGCAGCGGCAATTCTGGACAACAAAAACAAGGCAAAGGCATCACAATCCCAGATTGAAAATTATATTACAAAGCTACTGTGATTTAAAAGAAAAAAACAGCATAGTGTGACAAAATAACAGACCCAAGCATCAGGGGAACACAGCAAAAGATGGAGACAGAATTTGTAACACATTTAGCCAACTTATCTTTGGCGAAGGTGCCAAACACCTTCACTGAAAGAAAGGTAGTCTCTGTAATAAATGGTGCTTGAAAAACTGGCATCACACACACCAAAGATTAAAATTGGATCCATATCTTTCACCATGTACTAAACTATATTCAAAATGGGTCAAAAGTCTCAACATTAAAACAAGTACATTAGAAGCTGGGGAGTTAGCTTGGCAGTCTAGCCTGGCAAGTGCAAGACTGAGGTTTGATCCCAGTTACTACATGCCATGCTGGCCCAGCCAAGAGTTAGCCAACAAAACTCAGCATGGTGGTGCATACTTATAATACCAGCACTGGGGAGGCTGAGACAGGAAGATCACTATGAGTTTGAGCTATGTAGCAAGACCCTGTACCAAATAAATAAACAAATAAAAATTAAAACACAAACATTAAATTTGCTGAAAGGTAGCATAGGTAGAACTGTTGAAGACCCTGGTGTAGCCAAAAACTTTATGAAAAAACCCCAATTGTACAGGAGCTATTAAAAAGAATCAACAGCTGGGATCTTATCATATTAAAAAGCCTTTATATAGCAAGAGAAACCACTAACAGAGTGAAAAAAACAACCACCAATGTGATAAAAAGTTTGCCATTTCTTCTGAAAAACTAATACTATGGAGAACATATAAAGAACACAAAAAAGTCAAATCTCCCAAATTTAAAGATCCAATCAAAAAATGGGCATTTGAGATGCATATATACTTCTCAGATAAGAAGTAGAAATAGCAAATAATAGAGGAGAAACATCACTGGTTCATCATCACTGGTCATTTGAGAGACACAAATGAAAACAGTGCCGAGATTCCAGAAAGAAGGCCTATTGTAAAGAAATCAACCAATAACGAATGCTGGAGGGGCTGTAAAGAAGAGGAACCCTTCTCCAATGTTGGTGGGAATGTAGTGAAAGGTTTTAAAACTTTTTCCATCACAACTTCACTTTGAGCCAGCTTTCATGTGTTGTCTTGCTTTCCTGAAGCCTGCAAATTTGTGCTGGCATTGGAAAAATCAAACGAGCTAGGTAGAACTGTAATGTGTGATTGATCTTCTTAGGAGCTGAATAAACACATTGATTTTAGTATCAGTCTATGTCAGTTAATTAGGAAAAACTTCTTTTCTCCCCAGTTTAATGCTGACACTCAAATGCAAAATTTCTTTTAAAGGGTTATGCCTCCAAATATTTTTGGTGAGGTCATCTGTTTTCTGCATTCATCATTTTACGCTCTCCCTTTTATAAAATACATGTGTATCAGGGCTGGGGAGACAGCTTGGTGATCTGCCTGGAAAGCACAAGGAACTGGGTTCAGTTCCTGGTACTGCATGCCCTGCCAGCCCTGAGCTGCACAGCAAGACCCTGTACCAAAAAATAAATAAATGAAAAAGGTCAAAACTTTTTTTGTATTTTTCTAAGGGAAGGGTCTACAGGGTATTCAGGGTCTCACTACTAGATCAGACTCTTAATGATCCACCTGTTTACAACCTCCCAAGAAAAAAATTTGTTAAAAATGAACTAGTGTATCTTTGATACAGCACAAAATTATTTTATTTATTTATTTGTGTATTTATTTATTTATTTTTGGTGGTACTGGGGGTTGAACTCAGGACCCAGAACTTGCCAGGAATGTGCTTACTCTATTGAGCTATCTCCCTGGCTCACACAAAATTATTTTAAAATTCATAAATACAAAACAAACCTCTGACTTAATGTCTTCAGTCCTAGGTGGTATAAAAAATTAATACTTTAATATTTCACTTGTTTCCAGAAAAAATATTGTCAATCTTTTGTAAAAGAGAGTTTTGCATGCATTTTTATTCTTCAAATAAAGACACTTCTACTATCAAAAAACCTATGTATTTCCTTGTATTTTGTATAATTTTAGATGAAAAGTTATTTTCTATTTTTCATCAGAAAAATAATTGTGCATAAAATTTAAAGGCAGTGAAATGAGAAAATAAATTCTGTTAAATTTTCTGATCAAGGAGACTGTGGATCCACAGAGGAAAGTGATTGATGATGTAAAATGTGCCTAAGAAGAGTCACATGGGGAGAAAATATTCTCTCAGGCTTGTCACAGAGAGCTAATTGGTCAAGCAATGGTCATGACTCATCCATATGGCTGACTGACAAAGGATTTACAAACTGTGGTACAGGGTTTCAGGATAAATCTTGAGGAGATTTGACTGACCTTGTCAGATACAAGTTGCATTTCTTGTTATATAGATCTTGCTTTATCTTAGTCTTAACCATCTAGCAGAAAAGTATACAAGTGAGGTATAAAAAGTAAAGCCATATTAATATACTGAGCTATAAAAGGCTCAAGTCTTATACTAGGGAAACTATATGATATTTACACATGTGTGTCTGGTTTATTTCACTTATGAGTATATGCTCCAATGGCATCCACTTCAATATAAAGGTTT